TTAGCACCTCCTTTTTCTTTCCATTATCGAATAATTCATTTCAAAATGAGATCTTAATTTCTTAATTTTTTTTTATTTCTCTCTAAAAAAAATATTTATAAATATATTTAGATCTCAACAACGACGGCACTAGACTATTAAAATTTTTGTGAAAATTCCAAACTTGAGAGAGAGAGAGAGAGAAAAACAGTCACCATCTCACTTATGTTGCGTTTAATTGAAAATTTAAATTGAAAAATTAGAGAAGGGATTGAAAATAAATAAATAAAATACACTTTATATTTAGCACCTCTTTTTTCTTTCCATTATCAAATCACTTCTCAAACTTCCAACCGTTAACGTCTCAGGGAAAGGAAAAAAAAAACCATTTCTCCAGCACCACTCCTTACGTAGTCTCCGTCCACCACCACCTCCGCCGTCATAGTCCAGCAATTCACCATGTCCCAAGAACCATGACCCAAACCCAAAAAACTCCAACCACCCAATCCGACGAACACACCACCACCACCACAAGTAGCCATGAGGGTGATGGTGCCCTTACAAGGGATAGTTCAGGGCAGGGGTGGCCTAGTTCTAGGGTCAATCATACCCTGCACTCTCTTCTACTTCTTCAAACTCTACCTCAAACGAACCGCCCTGGCCCACCCACTCCTCTGCCACCCGTGCCGGAGCTTTCTCCTGGGTTGCATACGGTTCAATCTCGGATTGGATCGAATGGTCCACCTCATATCTCTTCTAGGGCTAATTCAATTTCTAAACAGAGTAATAATCAGTATATCGGATTGGAAAAGGTTAAGGAGGGCCCCTATGATGAGTCAACAAATCTTGATGGTGTTATTCAGCTTGAATTGGCTGAAAACAGGGTGGGTTTGGATTGATTGATTGATTGAGATTTTTTTTGCATGATTTAATTGATGGGTTTTTGGTGATTGTAGTTGTCGTTGGATTTGGTTCAAGATTGGTTAGCAGAGAATGCCAAAGAGTCGATTTTTGGGGGAGATGTGAGTATAAATGAGATTGCAACTTATCAGCCATCTGATGGATTGATGGAGCTGAAAGTGGTAATTTTCGCATAACTCTTGTCAGTTTTCATGGATTGAATTTTGTTCGGGCTAGCAGATTAGTGTGAATTTGTATAGGATTTTTGCATTTGTCATATTTCATTGTTAGTTTGATTTGCTAGTTTTGTTATTTTAACTTGTTTGGAAGATGATTTTCTTTTTCTATATTGTATGAATTGAGGTTGCACACCTGCACTTAAATTGAAAATAACCATACCAATAGAGTCGGAGTTATTCTCGAGATAGTCGTGGTATTATTAATGAATATACTAAAGATGGTTACTTGGATGATATGAAGTGTTGAATTTACTTTTGCAATTGGCTCATGCAATTGTTCAGACCATTTCCAGAGAATATGTATTTTCAAATATATATATATATATAAGCAATCAATATGTTCATTGCATCAACTAGTATGCAAATTATTTCCTTGTATCCTCTTTGAGCTATTTGGGATCTCGAAAACATTGCCCCCTGAAGATGTTTCTGTGTAGATGGAAGGCATGAGTGATTGTCTAAAATATGCTCCACTCTTTTAGCTCCTAGATGTGCTCAAGTAAATGAAATTTGTACACAATTTTGATTTGACCACTATTGTGTTCATCAAAACTGACCGCCCTATATTTCATTTTTCATGCTGCAGAAACCACACTTAATATCTGAAGCATATTTCTGCTCTTATTTTCAATGTGATCTTTGTAAAACATAAAGGTGAATTCACTATCTTCACTAAATCTACATATTTATGCAGTTCTATCTTGGCATTTCTGAGTCGATATTTTTGTAATGATTGATTGGTTGACTTTAAAACTCCACTGATTTCTTGATGATTCTAAGTCTTTAATCTGTCTGGCAGCTCTTCCAATTTGGTCGAGTTTTGGTAAATATGCATTCAAAGGTTTGGGCACTTGCAAAGTATTAAGGGTTCATTCAAGATGGATAAATACTTGATACTACTATACTCTCATTTAACTTTGGAATATTATTGTGTGGACTCCTTGAGTTTCTGTTAAAACATCTTCTTTTGTTTGTGTGCTGTTTTGTGCCTGCTTTTAGTGCATATAAACACTCGAATTGCTGTTGTAGTTGTAATCTGGTAAATGTATGGTCAATTCTTTGTTTAACGATCTAATGCCTACTGCAGTATGCCCATCTGACTTTCGTGTGAAGCACTAATGTATTTAATTGCAAGGCCTCATTCACATCAGTTGTCTTCATTGTTTTGGGTATCCTTCCTTTTCATGCTTTCTGTTTTGTCTTAGGTTCCATTGTATTTAAGGATTTGAAATGCATGGATTTGAAATTAATCATTCAAGGAGAATAATTGAAATTTAGTTGTGATAGTTTACCAATGAATTTCAAGATTAAATTAAATAGTTTTATCATGATGGAATTGAGCTAACTATTTAAAAGTAGTTATTTGAAATCATGCTAAGGATTCTCCTTGTAACTAAAAAAATCTTACTAAAATACATCTCTTTAATCTTGACTTGTCTTCTTCTATAGTTTTTCTATCCATCTATAATAGGTAACTCTTCAATTTGAAATTCCTTGATTTGAAATTCACGTCCATTCAAACGGACCCTTATAATTTCTAATGGATACAAAGATTTCTTTTTTGACAAATATTTGTATGGTTTACCAAGTGGCCCCTTACCTTTGAGCCTACCCTTTTCAATTCTTTGCACGGCTGATGGTGTTTTCCTGCAAGTGAACACGGAGTTGCTTTATCTTTGAAGGCTGTGGCTGGATTCGTGTCTCGAGTCATGAAAGGATCAGTGTCCTTCAATCCGTCACAAATAATATTAACAGCAGGTGCAACCCCTGCAATTGAGACCCTCAGTTTCTGCCTAGCAGATGCGGGAAATGCATTTCTAGTTCCCTCACCATATTACCTAGAGTAAATTTCATTTCCTCTGATGCAAAACTCTTTCTTTTAGTCATTTTATCCTGTCTAGAAACTGAATTTTGAACACTATCCAGTCTTGACAGGGACTTAAAATGGCGAACTGGAGTGGAGATTGTACCCGTACCTTGCCGCAGTACAGACAACTTCAATTTAAGTACGACTGCTCTTGACCGAGCTTTTACCCAGGCCAAGAAACGTGGTTTAAAAGTTCGTGGGATTATCATTTCTAACCCTTCAAAACCTGTGGGCTATCTTCTCAATCAGGAAACACTTCACAGTCTTTTGGGCTTTGCTACAGAAAAGAACATCCACATCATTTCGAATGAAATATTGGCAGGTCTACTCATGGAGGTGAGAAGTTTGTTAGCCTGGCAGAGATTATTGATTCAGAAGATTTCAACCGAAATAGAGTTCACATAGTTTATGGTCTCTCAAATGACTTCTCTCTTTCGGGTTTTAGGGTGGGAGTTATATATTCCTTCAATGAGAATGTTTTGTCCGCTGCAAAAAACTATCAAGATTTTCATCCATCTCGGCTCCAACCCAATACTTGCTTATCTCAATGCTTTCAGATACAAATTTTATCGAGAAATTTCTCAAGACAAATAGAGAAAGGCTTCAAAGAATGTATACCGAGTTTGTGGATGGATTGAAGCAATTGGGTATAGAATGCACGAAAAGCAGCGGGGGTTTCTACTGTTGCGCTGACATGAGTGGGTTGATCCAATCATACGGTGAGAAAGGGGAGCTTGAGCTCTGGGACAAGTTGTTGAATGTAGCTAAGGTTAATGTACCTCCCGGATCTTCTTGTCACTGTATTGAACCTGGGTGGTTCCGGTGTTGTTTTACCATGTTGACTGAAAAGGACATTCCTGTAGTTATGGAACGTATTCGCCAAGTTTCTGAAACCTGTAAATCTCACAGCTGATTTGGGTATGTGAATCCTTCGTTTGTTCTGTAATATGCTCAAGTTCTGAAAGTTGTAACATCTGTGATGTTGCAAAAGCAGTGCAAGACATAGAGACAATGGGTAATGAAATTCATTTCTAAATTTCTTGTGCAGAATAAATGTAATTTGTTTCACATAATTGCAATTATAAATTATTCTTTCTCTCATGACTGATTTGTTTGCTGTATTCTGTATTGTGCTACATCTGAACTGATTATGAGGTGCCCATAACTGGATATAGACATGAGGGACAGTAGAACTTGAGAATAGCAAGCATCCCTGAGCAACTTTTGGCAAGTGTAATTATGTGGCTTCACCCACACACCATCAATCCTCCCTGTGCATAAAGCAAATTCTTGATGTCAAGTTGCTTAAAGAGTCCAACTCCTCTCTAGTCAATTAGAAGTCTAGTTGTGAGAGGAGCTGTGAAACCATGGGAGCCACACAACTCAGAGTTCCTTTCACAATTGGACTTGAGAGTTGACGGGAAGAAAGAAATTCGAAAACACAACTTGTGATTGGTCTAAAACAATGAGGTCTTCAATACACTTTCTGGATGTGGAGCCATTGTTTCAACAAATTATAAGTTATATTTTGTTCACACATCATTGTTTGTTTGTAAAAAAATGACGTTTCTTTAGCTTAATGTGTACAACTTGTCACCCATTGTGATTGCCACTTAGCGGCTCCTATTCCCCACACGGCCAGTAGTAAGCTACATGTGAGGTAGGTGTTTTTGGTCACTTAAGAAAAACTTGTTTTACATCAATTCCATCGATGGCATAGATGGAAGCTTTTAGGCATAAGCTCATAATGCACCTGTAGGTCTTCTGAGGTGTTGCTTACATTGCAAACTTGTTTTACATCAGTGCCAGCTATGGCATAGATAGAAGCTTTCAGACATAAGCTCATAATGCACCTCTAGGTCTTTTGAGGTGTTGCTTACATCGCAAATTATTAGACACCACTAGACTCCAATGATACTACTGCAGACCATTTAACTCATGAAAGGTAATTTATTTTGGAAAATAATTGGCTTTTGAGGCATCAACAACAAATTCTACTCCGTTTGTAAACAAGATACAAAACGAATGAACTTTATTGAAGGAATTACAAGGTATAATCAATTAAGGTAATCTTAAAATGAATACAAAAGAATGTTTCTGCTGTGTTCTTTTCCCCCAAAAAGTGACTATTGTTGTCTCCTAACCTATGCACACCACCAACCCAAAATCCCATTTCCATCCATAACACCAATTCTTTTACAAGAAACAACTATTCACTTCACTTCTATCTTATGGACTCAAGAATCTGAACTATCTCAGCCATGCTTGGTCTCCTTGAAGGCATCTCAGAAGTACAGATCAATCCCAATTTCATGACCTGAATCAGCTCATTTTCCACAAAACCGCGCAAGCTTCTGTCAAAGCAATCCGAAGCAGTGCCACTCTCAATCAACCCCCTAACATATTCACACAAAACCACCACCTCGCTCCTTGCCGGACTCTCCACTGGTTTCCTTCCTGTAACCAGCTCCAACAAAATCACCCCAAAGCTATAAACATCACATTTATCACTTAGTCTCAAACTTTGTGCCAATTCTGGTGCAACATACCCGACTACGTTGTGGAACTTGGTCAACCCATAATTATCCAACAGTGGAAGTAACTTCCCCAACCCATAGTCGGACAATTTGGGTTCATAATTTTCATCTAAGAGTATGTTAGTTGACTTAATGTTGAGGTGAAGCACTGGAGGTTTGCAGTCATGGTGAAGGTATGCAAGGGCTCGAGCTGTCCCTAGAGCGATCTGGAACCTTCTAGACCAATTCAATTCACTATTGCCAATGCCAGTGCTAGTGCCAGGATAATCAAGTCCATGTAGATTAACATAAAGATCCCCATTTGGAACATAATCAGATAGAATTAACTGCATAATAGATGACCAGTAGTAACCTTGAAAAGCAACAAGATTAGGGTGTTGAAGGTTTCCTAACCGTCCGATTTCGTGCTCGAATTCATCTTGGGTTCTGATTCTTCCAAGAGTCTCAAGCTTTTTCACTGCAATCGAAATCCCTCCTTCGAAATTAGCCCTGTAGACTGTTCCAATCGACCCACCACCAATCAGACACTCTTTATCGAGTAGAGCTTTGGTGCCAGCCTCCCAATCTTCGTACTTTGAGGGAAGACTTTTGCTGAAAAGAACCAACTTTCCAATGATGATATTTGAATCCGATGAGGCTAGTGGAGTGCTCTCTACTACAACCATTGCCTCCTCATCCCTTCTCTTCCTGCGAACCTTCATGTTCACAATGGTTATCACGCAAACACCAGTAAGAATCGCTGCAGCAGCAACAATCGCAACAATGGCCGTAACACTCAACTTGGGCTTTCCTGACGATGAAGTTGTGGCATTGCCCGAGCACGATGTACCCAAAGGAGCACCACATAACAATGGATTTTGAAAAAATGCAAAGAAACCGAAATGCTGGATAGTTGAAGGAATAGTGCCAGAGAGGTTGTTGTAAGAGAGATTAAAATGAGTCAAATTTTTCAAATTCCCAAGTGAAACAGGGATTGACCCAGATAAGGAATTTTCTGCTAGATCAAGAAATTGGATTTTAGTCAAATTCCCAAGACTTGATGGGATGCTTCCATTGAGCTTATTTTGGTGTAAATCAAGAATTTCAAGATTTAACAAGTTGTATAGGGTTTGTGGTATTTCTCCTTGTAAAGCATTACCAGAAAGATCCCTGCAAGAACATTTTATAATAGAATTTCAAGTTTGATTCAAAGCAATGTTGATGTGTATATATATATATAGCATTAGAAGGGTGTTGATTGGACTCACAGCTCAAGAAGAAACCTGCAATTGCTTATATTTCCAGGAATGTTTCCAACTAGTTTGAGATTATGCAAATCAAGAACCTGAAGCCATTCAATGCTTCCAAACGCTGTGGGGATTGTTCCATCAATCGAATTATTCCCCAATCGAATAAGCAGCAGATTGTTCAAACCCGATAGCTGAATTGGGACAGTGCCATTCAGATTGTTGAACCCCAAGTCCAAGAACTTAAGGGCATTGCAATTTGTGATGGTCAATGGGATCTCCCCATACAATTGATTCCTCGAAGCATCAAGAATTCCCAATCTCTCACTACAAGTTCCAGTATTTGGAATCTCCCCCACAAACCCATTACGCGAAATATTGAAATATGTAAGATTTTTCAATCCAAGAACATCAAAAGGAGCCAACCCAGTGAACAAATTGGTGCCAAGATCCAAGAGCTCTAAGCTCTTGCATGATGAGACCTGTTCTTGAACGCTCCCTGATAGCACATTGTTCCTCAAAGACAAGTACACTAGGCCTTGAATTTCACAAACTCGTGAAGGAATTGGACCTGAAAGATTATTGAAAGACAAATCGATTCCAAGCAGATTCAAGCAATTGGAAACTGACCCAGGAATTGAACCTGAAAGATTGTTGTGAGAAAGTGAAACAAACTTTGTTTTGCTACAATTCTTAAACAAAGCTGATGGAATCTCTCCAGAATACTCATTTCTTGACAAATCAAGAAACCGAATATTCGACAAATCGCCGAGAAAATCAGGAATTGAACCTGATAAAGCATTGGAACTCAAATTGATCTTCCACAGAGTTTCAATCCCACCATATTCAGAGGGAATGTTGCCGATGAATCGATTCCCAAACAAGCTAAGAATCCGCAGAGATTTGAGCTCCGATAAGGCCGGCGATAAAACTCCGGCGAGACTAGTGTTCCATAGCACAATCTTAACTACATTTCCAACTGAATTACAGAACACACCACCGTAGTCCAAACAAGGGTCTTTACTTGAATCCCATGAGCTCAAGAAGTTGTATGGATCGCTCGAAATGTTGGCCTTGAATTGGAGCAAGATCTCCTTCTCAGCTATCGGAGAAACTACAGTGAAATCAAGAAAAATGAACAAGAACAAGAAAAAAAAATGGTGTGAGAATTTTTTCATTCTCGCAACCCAGCATTATTGGGATCCGATTATAAGAAAAACCAAGATTTGGGAATCTGAAATTAAAAGGAATCAAAATGGGTTAGTAGAAAACAAAGAGAAAAAAAAGGGTATTGATTGTGTTTGTGGATCTCTCAGTGAAGAACAGAGGTATCTAAGAACCCTGAAATCTTAGCTTCAGGGTTTCAATTCAAGAAGGAGAGAGTGTGAATTTTAGAGAGAAAGAAAGGAAATGCTCTCTCTCATTCATACTCTTATCTCTCTATAAACAAAACCATCAATGGGGATCAACAAACAAAGAAACGAAAAGCCAATTCAGACACTCTGATTCTCTCTCTTCAGACCACCACCGTGTGAATGATTGATCAGCTTCAACATAGCATTTATTCCCTCCAACAACCACCACATCACCACCAGGACCACCGCAACCAGAGACACGGTCATTTATATGAATCCAAAAAGACCCTAAAAATGTAGAAAAGGTTACTGTTTGGTCCAATTGACTTAGCTTTTTTCTTGCATTGAAATTTCGTCGGCCTGTCGTGAAAAAGATTTTGACATGACATTCGGGTTTTTTTTTTGTTTTTTTTTTTTTTTAACTTGAGGAAAGAAAGAAAGGAAATAAAAATAATAATTTACTTTAATTTGTAAATTACTAATAATATATATATATAATTTACTTTAATTTGAAGTTTTATTAGAAGGTAATTATGTAAACTTATTTTTATTGATTATATAATTTTTTATAAAATTTTAATTAAATAATAATTTGAAATTTAGACTTTTGTAGGATTGGACTGAAAAATCTATGAAACTTAAAAGGAAAAATACGACTAGCTTGCTTCGATGGGGATGTAATAAAGTAATTTCAATCTCAAAATATTTTGACATGTATATTTCTAACAAATGTATTAATCTATATTTTTTTTGTTTCTATAAATTACCAGATTGTTATGCATATTCCTCATTGGGGATACATAAAAGTTGATACAAAGACTTTTTGAAAAGTAATAAGGAGGAAGTTTGGGCAAACACATATTTGAAGACATGTTATTGACACATCTTTTGTAAAGCATACATATTTTTTATGTATGACGATATAATTTTTGGTGTATGACATGTTAGTGACACATCTTTTGTAAAACATACATCTTTTGTAAAGGTTTAACCCATTTTTTATAAAGTTTTAACTTACACTTTTGGTGTATGACAATATAACTTTATTTCTGTTTTTTGTTCAGTATTTACACTTTTTTTTACTACCTTTTATATTTTGATATGCAATATAACTTTAAATCTTATATGTTTGTTTCTTAATTTGCATTAAGATTAGGGGGAATTGTTATTTTATTTGAGTTTTGTAGAACGTGTAATACAAGCAAAATTATTATGAGTTCTTTAAGAAGAAAAATATTTCAATATATTTTTTCAGTATCTTTATCAAAAAATGACACAAACTTTATAAATTTCAACATAATATGTATAAATTATAATTGCATTTTAATCTTAAAATTATTTACACCTTGTCTTTAGGCACGGGCATACGCTAGTATATATATATAAGATAACTTTTGAGTGTGCAAAGTATATGATACGTCATATATTTATGTATTTTTGTAACTCAAGTTATATATTTTTGTGAGAACTTATGACATATTTTATGGATTAACTTGCGTAAATTTGCATTAAGTTACGTGATTTTGTTGAATGACTTACGTATGTTTGTGAGAACTTATGTCTAACTGTGATTTCGTAAATTTTTATTAATTAACTTAAGTGAATTTGTATTTAAGCTATGTGATTTTATGAGGTGACTTACATATATTTATGAAAACTTACGTTATGTTATAATTTCTTAAATTTTTATTAATTAACTTATGTGAATTTATGTTTAAATTACATGATTTTATCTGATCAAAAAAAAAATTACATGATTTTAAAAAATAATTTATGTATTTTTATGAAAATTTATGCAAATTTACATACTTCTTGCATCCATACCCAAACACTTCCCATTTTACAATAATAAAAACAAAAAAAAAAAAAAAAAAAAAGCAAAGATGTTTGGCCAATTTATTTGTTTGCTACGAGTGGTTGTTCTCTTTGCCCATTGGTGGGTTCAAATCTCCTTTTTCGCGTTTGTTCTTTTTTCGCGTTTGTTCTTTCTTTAACTGAGTCAACTAATCAGATTTTGGTGTTGGATTTTTTAAGGGAAAATTACGTATTAGTGTTATTTTTCAAAAATAATTACTAATTTATGAAAAAGTTTATAACATTGTAAACTTTATCATTAGTTTTTTTTTTTTTTCCTTTCTTTTTTCCTTACAAACTAACACAGAACAATTATTTTTCCCTTTTCTAAATCCATAGGAAATAATATTATATACATGAGTTAGTCTTGTGTTGGAGTATTTACCAAAATAAGTAAATAATTATAGAGTTAAAATAAATATGAGTAATAATTATCATCATGAGAAGATACTAGATTTATGTGGTTCGGCAAATTTACTTACATTTACAGATATTACCCTTCATCTACTATTTTAAATATGCATTACACATCACATCACATCTCCAGATATATGAATATATAATAAAGCGGATTAAGACATTGTCATTTCACTCTCTTTAAGGAGATTCAAGCTCTTCTTAGTTGGTAAAACCACCACTTCCCGATGTAGCAGAATATCACATATTAGCTTGTCTCCCCCAAGATATAACAGCCCGACTTTTAGTAGTGTTGACTCCACTAACTCTCAACAAGTAGGTGAGTCCAAAGCTTCACCATAAAAATACATTTACAAGCTGCCTAATTATTTCTATATAAACACAATATAAAATATATATAGATACACTCACAATTCTCCATGTATACTCCCCCGTATATACACACAAGCTCTAATTTATATGCATCCACAAACAAATGAAGAGTGCTCATATTAAATATAATAATAAATTAATTGTACCTCATAACCTTTCGCATGACACACTCAAACCTTTTCAGTTCATCATATTACATTGGCCTCGTTTGGGAAGTGGCTATTTTAGTGGGCTATTTGGCTTTTTGGCTATTTTAATAGGTTATTTTAGTTTTGTGTTTGGGAAGTTGAGTTAAATTTTTAGGTTGATTGTTGTATTGAAAAATGTGTTTGAAATGATGTTTAAATTAAAATTACAAATTTATCCTTCACTTTATTTTTTCAAAAAATTGAGGAATAGGGGTAATAATGTAATTTAGCAAACCTGCAGCCTACACTGTTGGTGGCAGTGTAGGACTTTCAACTTTAGTGACCACGTATGCAAACAGTAAGTTTTTTTTTTTTTTTTTTTGAAAATCAAGAAAAAGTTTGCTACAGTTAGGCTTTTTGGCTGATTTTCAGTTTTAGGCTATAATAGCCTGAATCTCAGGTTGCCAAACAGCGCCATTATTATATAATCTTTAACTACACTTTATAACATGATGTATGTATACACATAAATGCATATATATAATTTTAATATTAAAATAACATGAGTGCATATATGCACCAATAATCTCCCACTAATTTTAATATTAAAAATAAACACGGAAATTATCAAGCAAAGATGGATATTATGTATCACGAAGGTGTACTCTGCATTGAACCTTCACTAATGAAATAATGATCTCTACTCTATAATCAGTAGTGGTCTTAGACTTGAACTATAATTGCTTAAGGAAAATAAAGTATCACTACCCACACACAATAATCCAGATGTTGACGTGGGCTTTGATGCCTAGCACGTTATGGCCTTCTGCTGATCCCACTCTTTCATAAATAAGCCATTATCTCATAAAAAGCGACCCCACTTTCACACTCACATAGGAAAATCTGTCAAAGATGCTCCTGCGATTTCTTAAATTTTTATGAGTTAACTTACGTGAATTTGTGTTTAAGTGACACGATTTTGTGAAGTGACTTAAGTATGTTTGTAAAAACTTACGTCAAGTTGTGATTTATCAAATTTTTATAAGTTAACTTACACGAATTTGTATTTAAGATATACGATTTTATAAGATAATTTATGTATTTTTGTAAAAACTTATACAATTTTACATGCACCTTGCATACACACCCAAACACTTCCCATTTTACAATAAAAAAACAACAAAAAAAACAACAAAGATGTTTGGCCAATTTATTTGTTTGCTACGAAGTGGTTGTTCTCTTTGCCCATCGTTGGGTTCGAATCTCCCTTTTCGCGTTTGTTCTTTCTTTAACCGAGTCAACTAATCAATGAGCTAATCAGACTTTGGAGGTAGATTTTTTTAAGGGGAAATTACGTATTAGTGTGTTATTCTTCTAAAATAATTATTGATTTATGAAAAATTATATAACATTGTAAACTTTATCATTAGTTTGATTTCTTCCTTCTTCTTTTTTTTTTATTCAAAATAACACTGAACAATTATTTTTTTATTTTTTAAATGGAAACTTTTTTGATAAATCCATTTTCTAAGAGTTTTATTCCATCCAACCCATATTCTTTTTGATTATTCCATTAGGTCCAATTTGAGATAAGAAGACCAAAATACCCTTTTCATCTACTTAGGTTCCATTTAGTTCACATTATTTTCTTATATTTCAATAAGTCCTATGGGTGACATAATTACCAAAATACCCTTAATGTGAATGTTCACACCGTCAACGTAAATGTTCATATCGTCAATGTGTAGGGGCTTGGCCTATGTCGATCCTCGTGGGTGCCCGGAAAAATTCGAGTCGGGCCGGGCCGGCCCACAGGCCAAAAAAATAGGCCCGGCTCGGCCTGTTGATAATATGAATATTCACATTGACAAGTTAACATTCACATTCATAGGAGTGTAAAATTGGCCTGCAGCCCGTGGGCGGCCCGAAACTAGCCCGCCGCCCGGGGCGGGCCCGGACCGGCCCGTTCACAATGTGAATATTCACATTGACATATTAACATTAACAATAACATTGACAAGAGTGTAAAATTGGCCCATGACCCGTGGGCAGCCCGGGCCCAGGTCGGGGCGGGCCCGGCCCAGCCCGGCCCGTTGACAATGTGAATATTCACATTGATATGTTAACATTCACATTGATAGGAGCGTAAAATTAACCCGCGGCCTGTGGCCGGCCCGAAACCCGCCCGCGACTCGTGGGCTGCCCTGGGCGGGCCCGGCCCAACGTGTACTATATAAATTATGACATTTTTTATGTTGATTATGATAAATGTTTTAATTAAATTATTTTTAGTTATAGTTAAAGCAAATAATGAGTCACTAGCAGTTGATCCGTACAATTCATGTGTTATTTTTTTTTTCAAAATTTTTTTGATTGTACAATGTATGTTATAAAATAATAATTTTAATTTTAAAATTAAAATTAAAATTAAAATTAAATTTTAATTTTAATTATTTATTTTGATAATATTAGCGCTCTAGTTCTATAAAATTATTACTTGAATACTTTTATACATTAATTCTAGTTAAATTATTTGTGTA